TTAAAAGTTTAAAAGCTGCAACGTGTTTTGTGTAAATGTGTTACAGTTTTATGTCTCAGGTTTAGTTATCCTGTCATCCACCAGAAAGCCTTTATATTTATTTTGTGTTTAGATTTGTGTTGTGAGGATGTAAAATATGTGTAGAAATTAAAATTTAAACAAAACAAGTGAGTTTTGTTTAAAGACTGTGAGGGGCTCACAGACCCGCGTGCTTCCCGATCCTCAAAAAGTCCGTTTCTTTCAGGTAAATATTAACCTCAGAAAGGTCAAAGTTCACCTGTAATCACCTGCGTCACCACCTACAGGTGAGTCATCCCAGCTGACCAATCAGAGCGCAGCATCCGCTCCAGGAAACTGAGTCCGGCTCCCCAGCAGCAGACCCGAACAGAACCAGAGACCCGGACTACAGAGTCGGTTTGAGGTTCTTCAGAGGAGGAAAGTTCCGCAGCTGCAGTCATGGTTTGCGGCGGATTCTTCTGCGCTAAAAACGCGCTTTCTGTGCTCAACATCCTTTATGTGGTGAGTTTTTATTTTATCTTCTTTACTTTTAATCTGAAAAGAAAAGAGCAAACTGATGGATTTTAGTCATTTGTTAGTTTTTTATTCTGACAGTAAAAACTAAAGCTTCCTGCTGTAGACGCAGCTGAGCAGAATTAACTGATTCTTATCACAGCTGCTGTCGGAAAGTTTTAAATTTGTTCTTCCTTAAAAATAAAATCAAACTTTTAATTTTTACAAACTTTAACTCCGAGCTGCTGAAGGATCTGAGAATACAGTCTGAATAAAATCAGCTCCGTTTTTATTTCCTCCTCAGGATAATAAAAACAGCTTCTGTTCCTCAGAGGTATGGCAAGCCCTTTGAGTATTTATTCCACATCCCTCCATCATGACTCAACTCTTCAACATTTACTAGTTTAATGAAAGTCTTATATTAGGTACTTTTATCCAACTAGTTGAAGAATTCACTTAACTAATGACTTAAAAATCCCAACTAGTTTAAACACACTGGATCATTCAGCCAAACTAGTTCACTAGAGTTGTATAAGTTTACTAACAGGCATCAAAAAGATTAATTTAACTAAAAAACACTAAGTCTACTACTCAACTAAAGCCTAAAATATTCACTCCTATTGAATCACATTAAACTTTAACATTAATTATTGTCAACTGTTAACAAAAACATGTCGACTAATCAGTTTTAAACTGTGTTGTATAAAATACCTGAGTAAAAGTACAAGTACCTTATCATAAAACTACTTGGTAAAAGTTCAAGTCTCCTCTAGAATATCACTTGAGTAAAAGTCTGAAAGTATCTGATTTATTTTGTACTTAAGTATCAAAAGTACATTTCTGACATAAAATATAGTAATAAAAGTAAAAGTATTGAGTATTAACGGTTAGATTTTCCAAAATACATTAATTTGAAGGTGACCTCTTGTTAAATATGTATGTTTGTATGTATGGTATGTATGGTATGTATATATGGTATGTATGTATGGTATGTATGTATGGTATGTATGTATGGTATGGTATGTATGTATGGTATGTATGTATGGTATGTATGTATGTATGTATGTATGTATGTATGTATGTATGTATGTATGGTATGTATGTATGTATGTATGTATGTATGTATGTATGTATGTATGTATGGTATGTATGTATGTATGTATTGTATGGTATGTATGTATGGTATGTATGTATGTATGGTATGTATGTATGTATGGTATGTATGTATGGTATGTATGTATGGTATGTATGTATGTATGGTATGTATGTATGGTATGTATGTATGGTATGTATGTATGTATGTATGTATACAAACTA